ATATATATATATATATATATATATATATATATATATATATATATATATATATATGTATGTGTGTGTGTGTATACACACACACACTTCTATCTATCTATCATCTATCTATCTATCTATATATAATATACATATATATACTATATATGTGTATATATACATATATATGTGTATATATACACTTATATATATAATTATATATACATATATATTATATATGTACACACAAGTTTACACATACTGTGTATGTGTAAACTTGATCGTACGTGTAAAATAATCTCCGTCCAGGTTAGGCTGTAAAGCGGCTAAAACCCACTAAGAATCAGCAGTCGTTGTCCTTGTGAAGACACCGCCCAGCGGTCCTTGAGTAGAGACACAGTGCCACAACCATTCTCCTCCTTGTCCCAGTGCCCGTACCATCCTCGGGGTTGTGTCTGTGTGACGTAATCCAGCTCCCGATTGATAAGTTATCTTTGCTGTTTGCTCTAGCAGAAAATTCCGGTTATCCCAAGTAAGTACATTTTCTTTAATGTCTGTTGGTGTTCGAATTTTTTTTTTTTTACAACGGCGCACATATTTACCTTTACCCTTTGGCGTATTTAAGGGGCTGGGGACACGTACCCCCCTAGGCATCCCTTAAGGTGATTCCCATTTCTATAATTATAAGGTGCTTGTATAGTGTAATGCCCTAAAACCCCCCAATGATAGTATCTAAGGACACACACACACACACACACACACACACACACACACACACACACACACACACACACACACACACACACACACACACATACACACACACACACACACACATTTATGTTTAATACACAATTATAGAGCAAAAATAATGGTATTGATACTACACATACATGTCTCTATCAAAAAACATTGATAATTGAAAACGTAATCAAAACTAAAATATCAGATGTATGATATTACTGCACTGCATTTCCAAGTTCATCACGCAGTGTTGCCAAAGAACGAACGAACCGCTAACTTCGGGACGTATAACCGAAACAGACGCTTGTATTGGTATGTGTTTCGAATACAGGAGTCGAAAGTGGGGTTCACACATGGCAACACTGAATGGTGTTTTAGTTTTACAGGTAAGGATAAGTTTGCAACGTATATATGCATATCTCTTTTTGTATACTATACTGCACAGGCTTATCACTTAGTCTGTATACTTACACACACGCATTTATATATACACATACACACACAGGCGCGCGTTTGTATGTATGCATGCGTGAGAGAGAGTAAAAAAGCACCGAAATAGCATTTGCTAATAAAAACACAAGTATTAGAAACAAGGACCGGAAAGATTTGGTTCCTGTTACTGGAAAGCCTAAACTTCCAAGGACACCGGCTGAGGCCCAAGCAGGGGAGTCGACTGGACGAGGTCTTCACATTATGATTATCATTATTATTATCATTATCATTATTATCATTATTACCATCATCATTATTATTATTATTATTATTATTATTATTATTATTATTATCATTATCGTATTATTATTATTATTATTATTATCATTATTATTATCATTATAAAGCCACCCGTGCTGATCAGTAAGCAGTAATAGCCTAATTATGGTAATAAATGAGGTTAACCCATTCGCGCCGGGTAAAAATGAACAAAAAATGGGGGAAAATGCTATGCACATTCTTTTTATACTTTTTGTGAAATTTCTCTACACTAGATGGCTCTGCCTTACCTGATTTCATTTGGCGGGAAAATGTATTTTTTACTCGTGCTATGAATATCGATGGTTATTTTTATTATAAACATTATAATTACTATAATGTTATGAACATTAGTAACAGCAAAATAAGATAACGCAAAATAATTTCGTAAATTAAAGAAAAGGGTAAACAGGCGAGACAGGCAGTACAAGTACAAGTGTAGCCATCTATGTTTGAAAACAATCAAACAAGTAAACTCACAGTGGGCCCGTCACGTATACGTGACGCCCGGCGCGAATGGGTTAATGATGATAGTGGCATTAGTGTTAATATTTTTATCGCAGATATTGAAATAGCAGATATAATGATACTGATATGATAATTGTTTGCAATAATAGACTATTTCCAATAAAAAAATATGATTTTAAAATGATAAATCATCAGCAACAAAAAAATATTGATGTTGTTAATACGAAATGCATCGTGATTTTAATTATGATACTACAAAATCGTGCAATCGTCATTCGGTAGTCAAGTGAGAACAATTAATTTGACTTTAAAACATCTTTTAGTACATATTTCACGGCTTATGATCAATTATCCTTGCTCTAAGTACACACAAAAATACTTGCAAGCGATGCCAGAGTATATCATTCTCTCTCGTACTAACCTGAAGTCCCAGAATTCACGCTGATCGGGAGAGAGACGGACATGGCGTCGACCGTAGACATTTCCCCGCGCATTTCCCAGCCACACGTCGTAGCCCGCGTCCGCTAGTATGAAGGCTGATGAATAAAAAAGTAAATGAGTA